TTTACGAATTTTATTTTTCCAGTTTATTAATTATACTCGTCTGTATAACCTAAAAATAAAATTCTAGGTGTGAGTAATTAGCTTGTGCCACTTTCCACAACCACAGGATTGAGGTTGGATGTATATGTATCATGGGGTTTAGAAAGATAGAGTTAAGGGTTGAAGAGGGTAGTATCACATCGAGTGACGTGTACTGCGGTTGACCACCCTTGTACGCTATTGTTTTTTTTTTATACCTCATACGTATATTCCTATGTACATCTTCATCCCTTTACATTTTCAAGCACTCAAGGCCAGTTCCTGATTCCCTTTTTCCATTTTCCTCAGAACAAGAGGGCGCGCAACCGCAAGCGCTTTTACCCAAACCCCTTGTCATAGTCTATGCCTTTTTGGAGGGATAAAACCGAATTCTCCTACGGCAAACTAGAAAGTTAAGGGATTTATTTTAGAATGTATATCTGATTGGTTATTTTTATACCCCGATAGAAAGTGGAAGAAAAAGCTTTGTGAACTTCACAATCGCCTTAAGTCATTGTCAAAATAATACGAAAGAGAAAAGGTAATGGAAAATAAAGTGGCTTGCGAATTATATGTAACTCATCAATTTATTTTATTGTCATAGTAAATACAAACTGACTTTTAACTTTTAATTGCTGATAAAATATTTGGTATTTGCATATTTTCACGGTCATCCGGTTTTTTGGCTATGAAAAATCGAAAAATAGATTAATTTTCAGGATTCTGGTCTCAAAATGTTTCATTTGATAGCGTTTTCATAAAAAAAAAATATTAAAAATAATGACATTTAGGATTGTTAATAGTTGTATCACATTTGATGGTAAAACATGAGTTTTTTCGAATAATTATTAGTACAAAATCTTCTCGTTATCAGATCTTAGTTTTTTTTTGTTATATACATAAAAAAAAAACACAACTTTAATAAAAAAATATTGAAATTAATCATTTTTTGAATTGTTTACAACTGAGATTTAAATAAATAATTTAAAAATAACTGAGAGAAATATTTAGTTGCATTTACTATTAATATTTCGAAAAGGACTTAACTATTTTTTGTCAAATGATAAATCAACATAGAATTTTAAATCCAACTATGGGACTCAACTATCAATTTTTAGAGTTTAGTTTTGACAAATAAAATCATTCATCAGATCAGCTTCTTATATTTCATTTCATGACTTAGATAAATAAACAAACAATTAAAAAACCCCCATTTTTTTATTTCTAGCTCTAATTTATTTATTTAAATGGGTAATTATATCATATTTTAAGTTACTGTATTTTTTTCTTGATAAAAAATCAAAATTTGTTTCTTCATGACCCTAAACATTCTGTACAAAAGTTCTAATAATTTTTTAGCACCGTTTTTGCAAAATGGGTCTCACAATTTTCTGATTTCATGCATTTTCCTGAATCAATCAGATAAAAAAATCATTTTCTGAATCCAACTTGAAAAATAACAATTTTATTTATATCATTTAATCCAATAATATAAGAAAAAAAAAATTTTCGCCATTTTTTTTGTTTTTTAATTATCATTTATTTAATGAAGTTACTAATTGTAAGATAATTGGTTAAGAAATCTTCATTAACTTATTTATGATTGGTTTTTATCACTACCTGAAACAAAGTATATAACTAAACTCCTTAATGATGAATAAAACCCACACTACTACTACTTGATCAGTGAGTAAGTTACATCACAACTTATGACGCATAGAATAATTTGATGCAAATTTCGCTTAACCTTCATATTTATTAAAGAACATAAGACATTAGGATTTAATTCATTAACCATAAATTTAAGCTTATCACTTAAATATATTCTTTTTTATAAACAATATTTTATTGTCGATAAAGATTGCTGAAAACGACTTATCTCAATGTTATCTCCAGACATTAGTCCACTTATACGAGTTATCAAACTATTTATACTCTTTATTGAACAATTTACGTAATTGATAATTGCACGGTTATCGATTCTTCCCACAAATAAATTAGCCACAAAATAATGAAACTAATTTAAGAGAATATCATGCCGAGGAAAGAGAAAAAAAGAATAATTAATTTTATAAATAAAAAAAAAAAAATTGAAGTATTTTATTTCATTTTAGCATCTCAAGATCACAGCAATTTGTCGTAGGAAAGGCAAACATTTTCTATATTATTAAGTGCCTGTCCTTTGAACAGTTTTAACCGCATCCAAAGTCCTACTACTCTTTATAGAAATCATTAATGGCGTCATTCAGGTTAACGAAGAGAAAAAAAAAAAACCGGTTCAAAAAAATTCATGGAAAAATTGCTATATGAATTCAAGGACTACATAAAATGATGGCGATATGAAAAAATTGTTATTAATTATTAAGATATTTTAGTAATAATATCAAACCGGATGTGGGTTAAATTAATATAATTAGTACATGAGAAACAGTAATTATTAGATCATAAGAAATAATTGATTAACAGTAATTGAATTTTGATTAACTTTCGAAATCCTGTATCTTTTTTTTTTTATAAATCTAATTAAATTAATTCCCCAGGCATAAGAATATTTTTCACTACATATTTTTCAATGAATATATTAATGAATTTTTATTGTTGAATTCCTAATCAATACATATTTTTACATTTCATTTGCATATTAATCATAATTAAATCAATGATTTATATAAATTCTCTTATTTATTGATCATTTTCCTAACATATTCATTAATCATTGAAAGTAAATGATAAATAAAAACAATTTTTTTTCAACACTTCCTTATGAAAATGAAATATTGAAAGAAATGAATGGATTTTCTAGATTTAAGATGAATTATTATTTAGCAACTTTGTTGCTATAAATGACATAAAAAGATTCCCGACAGATTCGTGTCATCATGAGATATTGAAAAAAAAAATTTTATCATCATTGCAATAAAGTTTAAATGCTGTCATTAAGCGCTTCCATGTCTTCCTTCATCGCAAGTCATTTCGTCTCTTAATTGACGGTAATTTCTTACAGTAATTTAGCAAATGCTTGGAATGAATTTCTACTTGAAAATGTTGAAAAATTTTATGACTTATTTTTATTTTAAATATCAAAGTCATCTCAAACAAAGACCACTAATTTAGTTAGTTTGAAATAGTTTTAGCAAATATATTGCCGGGAGACAATAAAGTAAACTCAACTTTGATATCATATCTACTGATCTACTGATGAGTTCAATAAGAGGAAATGACTTGGAGATTTTTCTTCATTTTTAGTACACGTGGAAGCTGAAAACGTGAATTTTGCTTTAAAAAAAATCAGTTAATTTGTTGTTATAAAATGACAAAAAAACTCTACAGCATTACTTGGTGATTTACGTGTAAAAATAGTGTAGAAAAATTCGAAAGAATCAGTGTATTAGATTTTGAGGGACAGCACTGCAAACTATAACTTTAGAAGTGTTTTATTTCAACACACTTAAAGTATTTTAAAATGATGTCACCCATTTGTTTAACATTGTAATCACGTAAATACACTTGGACGTATTCAAAACGTGACTACACAACACTAAATCGATGATGTCATATTTAAACTTATTAAGTGCATTAAAATAAAACACTACGATTGGCAGTAATTATTTTTCGAGGCATCTGCAGAAATTTTCTGCCAATGACTTATTGATCAGTCTTTTGCAATGAAAATTAGGAAAAATTTTGATCAAATGATGTATTATTATATTAAAACTAATTAAATAAATCATCATTAGCTATATTGTTTAAAAAAAATATTGAAAATCTGTTTTTTTTTCCTCTGAATTAACCTTCCCCCCTCTCTCCTCAATACAATTATAAGAATAATAAATAATTGGTTATTGTCAAGAAATAGTATTGATAATACTATTAATTTACCAATTGTTCATAATTTTTGATGAAAATAAAAATACTTGCAATTTTATTGCAATTGACCTTCACAATAACGGAACTTATATGATCTAAAAAATTGACCTAGAAATTGAGATGATTGGAGGCTATAATCAAGACAGACGTTAAGTGCAATAAAAGACACTCAGTGAATGAAATAAAGGTCACTATTATTATTTACAATAAAAATTGAAATTTGTAAATATCCTGGAAATTATTTATTCACATTTATTGCAGTATTTTTTTTTGTTTTATTTATTGATAATTCATCAATTGCATCACATTAGATCATTAAAACATCTTTCCTCCTGACAGTGAGTGATGATTAATAAAAACTTGATAAGAGTAAATTTGATAACAAAAAAAAACAATTTTATTGCATATTAATATGAAATAATTGATAAGGAGAAATGTGATAATAGTTTGTAATAAAAAATTGTAATATAATAATTATAGATAGATAAAATATTGATTACAATTATCAGCACTTGTTCAGAAATAGTAGAATCATCTATTCTATTTAAATCTACGATAAAAATTATCACTAAACAATAATTTTTATTTTTGTTTGATAACTTTATGAAAAATATCGGGTATTCAGTTCTCAATAATATTCTTTATTCCACAAAATAATTTATTTATAAATTACCAATAATATCAATACGAACTAATATTTATTCCTTCTCAACAAAACTTACTCGCAATCATGAACTTGATTTATTACCGATAACTAGAAAAATAAATTATCAGTACAGCAGACAGAAAGATCACAACATAAGAAGTTTTGTGTTTGAAAAAAAAAAAATACTAATCATTCATTATAATTATTCAGTACTAATTACAGGCAATAGAAAAATATATAAGTGCAAGTGAGACTCGTGTCATCAATGAGATAAAAACCGTAAAAATGAAAATTCGTTAAAATAGCATCCTTTCATACAATTATCCTGTTATGAAATACCCTTTATGATCATCAATAGACAAAGAGCTGATACATAAGATGGCATAAGTATGTAGTTAAATGACTATGCAGATATCTTAGCACTGGCGTTTGTGATTGAGTCAATTATTGCACATGAAACATTACGATTACTGACTGCCATAACACACGCAGCTGTATATCCAAACGCAGCAATTGGTCGAGAGGAATTACCACGTTCAGTATAAATAAACCAGGCTGCAGCAGCTTTTATAATTAATTGTATTGTTTCCGTCTTTCTATAATCGTGCAATTTTTATTACTTCATTTTTTTTTTTGCTAATAAAAAAAAAGTGTTGAGGAATTATTCAATAAATTATTTGCAGTGTTTTTTTTCAATCAATAAAAATAACACTGACTGTCAATGGTATTTGCAATAAACTCGTTTATTTAAGTGTCTAGTGGAAAGAAATTTTTGCACGTGAGTGTTAGATTGTGAACAAGTCTGCTGATAGTATTGGAGAAAAAAGAATTTTCGAGATATTATTGATAAATTGGTATTGAAACGAATATGGCAACGCCGTGGCTGTCACCTCAATTCATTGAGAATGTACTTCGACGTTCAGAGAATGACGATTCCATTTGTGTAATTGATTGTTCTATAAAACCAGCAACAAATAAAGGCGATAATTATACCAGCGATATGCATCGTGCATATGTGGAATTTCGTCGAAGTCAAAGTATTAAAGAAGTAACGGAAAAGAAATCAATTATTATTAAAGTTGCACCGACAAATGAAGGACCACATAAAGAAATTGTAAGTCATCTCTTCCTGTTTAGTATTCTTTTTGTGTACATACATGTGATAAATGTAAATGAATGAATAGATTATTTTAATTACACTTAAAAACCTAGAGAAATGAGTGAAAATTTGAATAAAATTATTTTGAATTTTACATTCTGTCAGATTTTTTTTTTTGCTTTAATTTTTTTCTGACTGCTGTCATATTAATTTTTATATTACATAATTGTTGCTGGAAAAATTGCAGAAGTCATATTATTACTTATCGATTACTTTAGATTTTTGGTGTTCACTCATTGGAAGTAATTAATGTAATTGTTATAATTAAAATCCCCTTTACTTTTTATAATTTTGATGAAAAAACAAATTGATGTCATCATTAATGATTTATTTGTATCTTATTTACATATATTATTGATGTCTATAATTATTTAATTATTATTAAATATATAATACTAATTATTTGAAGACATTAAATAACATCAGTCAACGAGAAAAAACTTTTTAGCATTTGATGTAATACATTAAAATTCATAAAATACTCTTCCTATGAATGTCACGAGTTAAATTTTCTACCATATTTAAATTTTAAATTTAAGGATATTTTTTATTTTAAAAATATACTTGATGAAAATTTTAGTCCAAATTTTCTATCCTGCATAATTATTAATTATTTTTTATAATATTAATAATAAAATGTTATGTATTGGAAAAATATCCTTATGTTACTAAATAAATTTTTTTGCTAATCAAAATGAAGGTCGAAAAGGCCGGATTGTTTGAAGTAGAAATCAAAATGATGACGACGACACTTCGAGAGATGCAATTAATCCTAAAAGATACGAAACTTGGAGGTGATTGTTACTACAAGCAAGAAGCAAATCCACCTTTGCTAGTCATTGAAGATTTAGCTCCATTGGGCTTCAGAATGGCTAATCGTATGGCTGGTCTTGATCTTGATCATTGTATGCTTGCTATACGTGGATTAGCCAAGTTTCATGCCAGCTCTGTAGCAGTTTGTGAGAAGGTTTGTACTTGACTCAATCTATATTCCATTTTGCATGTTTCAAATGTAATATTGACTTCATATGTTAAGGTAGTAGTGATTATGAATTCAATCAATAAACTGTTACTCTAAGTTGATCAGTAATGAGATGTGAGACATCAATGTCTGAGTTAGCTAAGCATGAAGTAAATGTAAATGAATTTTTTCTAAATGGTGGCAAGCAGTATTTAAAGTTAAATGTTTTTAGATTATTTTCTATTACAGAAACCTCAGTACAAAGATGTGTACAACAAAGGTATCTTCAACTCTGACAATCCTCCAGACATGGCAAAGTTCTTCACAAGTTCCATGAGAACATTAACAAATTGTGTCAAAACATGGCCTGAACTTGGACCTGAGTATTACGAAAAACTAGACAGACTTGTAGAGAAAGCATATGGAAATGCATCTGATTCTAAAAAGCGTGATGACTCGGAATTTAATGTTATTAATCATGGTGACTTCTGGGTGAATAATATGCTGTTCAAGTATAACGACAAAGGTCAAGTCACAGATCATATTTTCGTAAGTATTTTACTGATTGAATTTTTTAGTATTACTCTATTGTTATCAGTTGGAAAAAAGGGGGGTTGATGAAATTAAATAAAATCATTGATGAATTTAAATAATAGATTTTAATAATATTAAAGTTGAGAAGTTCTAAATTGTTATTCCCTAAGGCTAAAAAATTCACAACTAGTTCAGTTATTGATTCGCATTTTTCATCATAAAAAATTTTTATTACACTATTATATTTCGATAAAAATGGAATAAAATTCATTTAGTTATTAAATTGGCCTCGAGCTACGTCAGAATAAATCAAAATGATAAGCGAAAATATCTGATAAGATAAATATTTCGGGATTTGAATGTACTGAAAAAAGATGAGACATATGAATGATGCTGGTTTTAAAATATGGCATTTGAGTTCTAATTTGAAGATAAATTTTTATTTTTGTGTTGGAGTGAAAATAGTTATCATTTTAGATTCAAGTAAGTTTCAGATACCTTGTGATAAAAGGGTACGATCTCTTTTGGTTTCAATTCGAATCAGACGAATAAAAAAATCGTGTCACTACTTCTGTACTTATTTGAGTAATTTATTTATTTAAAAAACACGTACTGAGGATCTTTTTTAAAAATGTCAAGTGTAAATGTATCGTCGAGTTCTGGGTATCTTGAATAGGAGGAACGATTGAATTGGTAATGAAGCAAGTGGCAGAGAATAAGTGAAAAGTGAGAGAGAACTGTGGGCGGTTGAACACTCGTGTTTAGGAAGTCGTAAGAGTTGAGAGTGCTGACTTTGTGTTCGAGGCGGACAGGTAAAACGACAGAAAGGGGTGGTTTAAAAGAGGTTTTCTTCCTGGGTGTTGAGGGTGAGAAAGTAGTATAGAATGTTGAGAGTCTGTGGAACCGAATCCAGGACGAGTTCATTGCATTATTCACGTTGCATGATCCTAACCAACCTAAAGTTTGCTAACTCTCAAGGGACAGCACGTGCGTGGTACTCAAAGAGCTTTTTCCCCCTTTTTTTTTTTTTTTGATTTGATCTTTGTGGTGATGAATAAAATCTGGGTTTTCAAACTTGTTATGAAATTTCAATTATTCTCAATATAGGTTTATACTTTTTGCTGATGTTATTAATTGTACAGGAATTTTTTCAAATATTGTTAATAACAATTAAATATTGTTAATTATCAATCATTATTGTTAATAATTATTTAATATTGTTTATTACAGTTAAACAGTAGTAATAATATTAATAATAATGAAAATAACAATAACTAGAACATTTGGTATTTTATTCTTTCCTCTGGAGAGTTGATCGTGTAGACCTCCCATGTTGTACCTTGGCCAATATTTTCAAATTATATTTGATGTATTAATACGCTGTTAAAAGGTAGAAGCAATAAAAAAAAAAATTCGTTGAAATATGCTGGTACTAGAATTTTTATGTCGAATTGTACTTTCTATTATTTTAAATATTCTCTACTCGATCAATCTCATCACTTCTACGTGGATCATCTCTTTCAAATTTCCGTTATATATTCTTTCATTTTATCCCATCTAGTAACTGAATCAAAATTACTCTATTCTTTGCCATCAACTACAACAGTTAAACACAACACAATTAGTTTTCATTATTTATCCTACTAGTTAATAAATTAAAATGTTATTTTATTTCAGGTTGACTTCCAATTGTGTGTTTATGGTTCTCCAGGAGTGGATCTAAGTTATTTTTTCAATACCAGTCTCTCTGAAACTGTTTTAATGAACCATAAAAATGACATTCTAAATGAATACCTAAATGTCCTCACAGCTACAATGAAAAAAATAGGATGTAAAACATCTCCACCGAGTATGAATGATTTACAGAAGATATTGCGTAAAACAGAGCCATATGGTTTTGTAGCAGCTTGTACTATTTTACCTCTTGTTCTCACAAAATCAGATGACGCAATGGATCTGGAAGAACTTATGGAGCAAGTTGATGAAGAATTTAATGTTAAAGCTTACAACAATGAAGTTTATAGAAAAGTTATCGTCAGGCGGCTGATTGACTGGAATGCTATGGGATTGTTGGATAAATAATGTCAATTATGAACCCTAGAATGAATTAATAGGATTAATAAATATTGTTGAAAATAAATTATAAGTTTGTTATTGTTGATTTTTTTTTTAATTTAATAAAATTAATTGGATTAGAGAGTTAATAAGATAAGAATTTTTTAATCAAAGATTAAAAAGTCAGATTCAATCAACTGTTTCCTACAAAATAATTAATTAATGTTAAGAATATTTGATTAGTTGTTGAAACTATTAACAAAATACACATAATATAATTTTTATATCTTACAGAAACTTGAAGTAAATATTAGTTCAAGGTACTCTTCAAGTTAGGACTAATCTACCTATAGGTATAGGCAAAAGTTGTTTAATATTCAAGTAGCTCGTATGTTCATAAATCAAACACTTGTCAACCCTTTATGTGCTATTGAGTACTTTTGTTTATTCTACAAGCGTATTAAATTAACCATAGTACAATATAAACCATGCTTATATTCATGTTTCTAACAAATTTCAATTAATTTCGTTCACAAGAAAGAAAAAGATGGAAGAATAACCATCTTAAGATGTTTAATCAATCAAATAACTAAGATAACTTAATCTTGTGGTGATCAACACAGTTATCTTGCTATCTTCGTGATCATCTGTATTAAACAATCCTTAAGTAAACCTTCATCTGTTTGCTCCTCTGTATCAAATTAGTCTAATCACACATATCAAAGCACCAGTATATTCTGATAGAAATCTATTGCACAAACTTGTATTTACCGTTAATAAAAATGACCTTTATTGAAATATAAATAATTCAGATTAATTTAATTACCGTTTGAAAGTACTCAAAGAAACCTACATTAATTACACTACTTGATGCATAATTTGATGTCTTTTTGCATAAGTGATTCTCCTTGTAAATTCTTAATTACTACACCATGTAATTCTAGACAACAAGACCTATATATACTCATTTATTAATAATTTCGAACTAAGTTTCACATTTGTTCAATATTCATATCCAACGAGTTAGGGAAACTTCGAAAGCCTTAATGATGTTAATGATACTTTATGTTGATGTCAATTTTATTCACTAAACCAAACGATGATTTAAAAATTAGTTCTTAGGAGATATGATATCAAACTTTAAATACATTGCTGATGTCTATTGATGATAATTTAGCAATAAATGATAAAATAAAAGTGAACGTAATTGAAAAATATCACTGGATTAATGGAATATAATTTAAATATTGAAAATAAAACTACTGAATAAAAAATGGAGCCAAAACGATTTATTAAATCGTCCATTTTATAACATTTCTTCTCCATCTTTTAACTCTCTTCTCAAACATAAATCCTGGCTTCTTGCACTACTCTACACTCATCTCCAATTCAATCTCCACAGTATTCGTTGCAACTAGACCTCACGGTTTCTCTTTCTGGCTCATACACTTGGACCCAGGTGAATCCTCGATGAGATGATATCTTAAGAATATCGAGTAGCTTTTTGCCAAAAGACTCTGATCAATCTATGACGATTTATTAGAATTTACGTAAACATAAATTACTTCCAAGGATATTTAATTATCAATACCGATTGAAGGAATTAATTAGTAAACCCCATCGTATCGTTTCTCCATCTCTCAGAGACTGACTTACGCACGTAATTACCATTAGGCTAGTGTGTCTCTTGATCCACAGTTGGATACGTACGAAATAGAACGCGTGATTAACTCTGAAAGCCAATTAATATCTCTACAGTCCTAAAGCAATGGCTTTGGCTTTCAATTTCACAAGGATTGTGTTTGTTTGTCTAGCTAGGTTCGCCACACAATGTACATCTATCGATGCCTCAGCAAAAGGAATGAGAGAAGGGAGAACACGGTGAATGATAATACAGCTGGTGAAGACAAACGACAGGATTAATCTGTTCCACACTATCTCTGATACCAACGATACCAGGAATTGAACTCCATTAGACTGTTTTCATTCATACATTTGTTCTCATTTGTGTTCAGGGCCAATGTATATAGAGAGAGTATAAGTTCCAATAGAAAAGATTACAGATTCTAATTAATTCTAGTTGAATTATTTAGAATATTTTAATCACATTAGACTCAAGGAGAATTACCCTTTAATAATGAAGAATTGATGACGTTATTCTGAGAATCAGCAGGGTGAGATAAGCCGTAAAGTGTTCAAGTTATATCCCTATGACAAATGAATAGATGTTATAAAGGTTTGAGATGACTATGAAATAGTCATCATCTCATCTCTTGTACTGAACGTACGTTTGCTGGAAGTAAACCCACAAAACTACATCATATTGGCCATAATCGATTACATCGTGATTGTCAACAAGTGCTGCTACCAAGTGCAGGGAATTATTACATAAATTTTCATTGACAGTAATTAGTGAAGTTAATGAACGGGTATGATCGGTATTTATGATATTTTCAATGATTCATATTCTTTAATTATCAAAAAAGTGGTTCAGGTACAACATGGGAGGTGCATATGATTAAGTTCTCAATAAAAAGAATAAAAATATCTCGAGTAAAAATAAATAGGCCCAAAAGAGGCCTAAAACACACCCAAAATGAAAAGAAAACCCCCATTAAAGCCCGAACATATTTTTGAAGCCCACAACAGGCCCAATTTAGGCCCATTTTCTAAGATCATGCTCGACAATGATGACAATAAATTATTATATTTATTTAATGATAAGTATTTACGACAATTGTTTATTTTTTTTAAGTTTTAAAAACAATATTGGGCTTCAATTGGGCGCCATATGGGCCCGTAAAATATTTCTTGGCACAAATTGGGCCTCCTCGGGTGCGTCCAAAAATGGATCATTTTTACTCGGGATTATATATTATATTTATCATTATTATTAATGTTTTACTTTAATAAATGATTTTTAACTGTTATAGTGTTATCAATGCTATTCTACCAACACTGACCCAAGTTTAGAATTTTATAAATTATTGTTGTTTCTGTTTTCTAAATTATTCTTTTTCTAATTACCCTATTATGGTTCAGTCTTTAATATGGTCCATTCGTTAATTTTCCAAACACACGATGTCTTTTATCAGCTAACCTAAAAATATATTTTAAAATAATTGTATATTTTCATCCATACATTATTGAATTAATTTCAATTAATCCTGTCATTTTAGTAAACTATTTCGTTCATAATATCCCATTATTTTACAATATTGGAAAATGACTTCGTGGTAATAAACAGAAACATCGAGAAGTGATTGAGTAAAAACAAAAAGTGATCCATAATCCTACCTTCTCTTTTACAATTTATAAATTCCAGTATTCAGCTATCTTCCCTTTTTTTTTTAGTTTTTTGATTCTGCAGCAAAAATAGCTGGACCTAATTTATTTTAAGTTGTGTGATTATTCATCGAATACATCCTACATCGATATCATTTTTTGTTCTCGAGGTAATCAAAAAATGTACACAGAGAATTTTTTCACTGCTCAGAAGTAAAACCAATGAGAAGTCCAAAATTCGACGTTTAGAAATAAAATGTGTGAAGTAAATTTTGACTTACTGTAAGTAAAATTCACTTCTGGATACACACATTTTTTACGGACCACTATATCTTCCCACTGAGAAGCTAATAATATTTTCATTTTTTGTAATTCCATATACCAAATTCCTCTGAAGAAATTTTAATCTGCTAATGATTTAATTGAAATATGATTGCATTAAAAGCTATTCCATCCAGTTTAATGTCTGATCTTTAACTTGGAATACTGAATAGAGCCTTTTCAGGTGAAGATTTGTCTCTCTTAGTTATATCATGCTTTATTCCTCGACTCTCGTTTATCCTATTAATTTTTTGCTTTGTGTTACACATCATAGAGTATGACAATTTAGTTCGCTTTGTCAGTGCAATATTTCTTAATAATGAAAATGTTCGCTAATACTCTGATTGTCTCTTTGCACACAACAGAACATGGCAAAAGAAAGGAAATTACATTAGAGTTGAACTGACTTGCGTTACTCTAGTTTCATTTGCTTTGTCTTTCCTTCGTCTTTTCATCTCTCATTCTATCCAAATGTGTATCTATCTATATTTCTCTCACCATCACACGTAATGCTCTTCTGTCACTCCCCCTTGTTTTATGCCTGTCGTTTCTTGCTCCGTCGTTCAAATTATTATCACACTCTGTATTCGCCGCTTATTCTAAAGGAAGTTACACATCTATTCTATGGAATTATCAAAAATATCTTAATAATATTACTTTGAGATAATTAGTTATGATATTGCTTGAATTAACATATTAATCATCATTAACACCTCTAAAAAATATTCATTACTGCTTTATAGGATAAAAAAATGAACTCTTCCACTGTGGATCAGTGAATACTCACTGAATAATTCAGTAGATTTTACAATCATCGCAGAATCAGTAGAAAATTAAATAAAAGGCGATAAATAACAGAACACTATTGTTTTTAATGATTAAGTTTAAAAAATAGTACATTGTTAACCTAGGGAGAAAAGTATGATATTCTGACCTGGCTGTATAATTGCATCCCGAGCCAACATATTATTTTTTATCATACCATTGTTCAAAATTAAGGTTGTTTGTTTTGAGGTTGGAAAAGTGACGTTTTCTCTCTTGCAGAGAAGCCAACACCCGTCTGGACATGCGCACAAACGATTTTTTGTCTTTTTTGCGAGCGACAAAACGTCGCTTTGGAGCCTAAAAACGGGGAGCAAACTTTAACTTTGAGTGAGGGTATGAGAAATAGTACATTTCACACCTAGGGAGGAAAAGTAACTTAAATTACGTGTAAAATTACAATCTAAACCGAAGGCGAGGGTGGTAAACACGTAATTTAAGTCTACTTTTCCTCCCTAGAGCTGAAAATGATTTATCGTCATACCTGCGTGGAAAGTTCAACCCCTCTCGAATGGAAAAGTGAATTTTCCGCACAGGTATTACGAACAAATTATTCAATTGATATTATCATTTGTTTAGTATTTCAGAGTCAATAAACGCATAAAAAAAAGTAATTCAAAGTCTCTTAAATAAATATTTTGCAAGCCACAAGGTTGATTTATATTTTTTTGTACTGATCATTTTTAAAAAATGATAAACGATTTCATGTCAAAAAAAATAG